CGGTCAGCTGCTCTATGAGAAACGCAGCTATGAGAAAGGCCACTGGGCCTGTATCACAATGCGTGAGGAAACTTATGAGCAGAGCATCTGCTATGGATTTATGAAAATAATGAAATACATCTGCCAACAGAATTCTTCAGGTGAGCCCACAAAGACAAAAAAAACTACAAGCCGTCTCACTCTGACCCAAAATAATCCTATTCATTTCCAATTCACTGATATTGAGACAGCGGGAAATGACAGCTGCCACTTTCGCTCCACAGGTGACTACTTAGGCATGACCATCCCCATCGTGACAGTGGTGCACACAAACGAGAATCATTCTGTGATTTCTCGGGATGTCACGGTGGCGTACCACCTTCCTATTGAGCATCAGGCCCAGCCTCCGCAACCCCTCGACAGTGAGATCGTCATTGAGATTTGGCCACATGCTGTCATATACACGAGGTAAATAGAGAAGGAAAACGAAGGGTTTTTTTGTGATTCTTTTTTGGAAATAACAGAAGTTAATGACTTCCATTTCAAGGGCCTTCACTGGACCGACCAACGAGGTGACCCTCATTAACCAGATCAACGCCCTGGCAGAGCTGCTGGATTCTCCCGGCATTTGCGTCAACGACTCGTTCATCGTGGCCGGCTACACCAACCCTGCTCACAGTAACCGTCAGAACGAGATCTGGTTCCTGGAGCGACAGGGGATTTAAGGATTAGGTAGCACAATTATGCTTGTGACCTTGAACCACCGCCCCTAAGGAAGACTTACTTTACTCTGCCTCAGCTCATCTACAGCATTTAGGGGCTAAATCCTTCTTAGACGCCTTTACCTGAATCAAACACCAGCCAGTTACACTCCAGAGAAATTTGGAAATAAACCTCAGTAAATTATCACTCGTGTTTTTAAAGCAATTATAATTAGCACATCTTTCGTCAACCCCTGAGTTTTCATGGATTTTCACTTTGCCCCCTCCTCAAATACCGACAACATTTTTAACCAACATTTTGGCATTGAGTCGTGCACTTCAAGTCAATTGGCCTTCAGTTCAGCGTTTGTGAAGTTTCGCCTTTTTTCTTTGTTAATCTTTGGTTTTCAAAGTAACCTGAAGTAGTGGCTTCAGTCATTTGGATTGTTACAAAGTATTTCTGCAACGTTGTTTTGGCATATATGCAAACTTTAATGTGATCCACCAAACTATCCCCAAAGACCATTTTAAGAAAGCACTAATGTTTAACAACCTCTGGAACAAAAGTGAAAATCACACGCACAGTAAACCTGACGTACTTTCCAGACAGTTGTACCAGTCTATAGGTGGTATTTATTTTTAAACATTTATTTTATAAGAACTAACATTAAATCTGGAAAGCTTAACAAACACATGCTAAATATGTTATCAGGCTAATAGTTTAACGTATATTATTCATCATCACTGAAGGCATTCACCAGTGATTATTCAAATTCTATTACAACAGTATGGCTTTCTCTTTCTGGTTTCAATTTATTTCTTTTGTCATTTGTATCTTTATGGTTAAGTTGAGTCATTTTTCAATGGTTCAGGAGCAATATTCAAAGTAGACTGTGCACTGTGGTGGCCATAGATGATATGGAGTGTATTATTTTCATGTTAGTCACATGGCCTGTGGTGGCCATAGATGATATGTAGTGTATTATTTTCATGTTAGTCACATGTGAATACAAATCCCAGGACCAGCCAAATCCAAAAAAAAAGTGTGACTTAATAGTCCTGAAAATACAGTAGGCACACCACTGTCATGACCTCATGGATGAAACCAAAATGCTCGGATGAGGCATTCATCTCCTGCATCAGTAAAATTTTGCACACTGTTGTCTTATTAAAAATTAAAATAGCAAACTGGAGCCTGAAACACACAGCACAGCATTTCTCCTCACAGCCGACACAGGCTTTACTATACTCTATGTTGTATGTTGCTACATGTTGTCTCGTGGCTGTCGTTCATACTGTTCACAACATAAGGAAAATAGTTCTCGTTCTGTAGCATTTTGAGAACAGTTCATCAGTTGTACCGTTGAGCTGCTGCTCACCACAGGTCAAAGGTCACGATCTGTCACGCTGTTGGTGATTACTAACCTGAACTAGTTTAACTGAACTAGTGTTCAGCCTCATGTGTTGTGGACTAGATCACAGAAACCTGACCTACAAGATTCACCACAAGACATGACACTACCGTAGTCAAACACATAGGAATGTTACCTGATGATAAGTACATGAATGTAAAACTATAAAAACATGTTACACTCTAAGAAACCAAAACACTGAAAACTCAGATTCTACAGCTGAATGACAATCATGAAAATACTAATTTGTTAGTCGTTTTTTTTTTCGTTTTTTTTTCTGCGGTGAAACAATGTCAAAAACTCAAGTTTGTCGTTTTTTTTCCTGCGGTGAAACAATGTCAAAAACTCAATGCATTCCTCGTGTTTTCCGGCATGTTCACACACAGGAATATTCTGTACTTCTGTCTAGTGCTCTATTCTGTGTCGTCAGTGAGTACACATTTACTGTTGCCCTGCTGATACCTCTGCTTCTGTGTGAAACCACGAATACTAGGGCACAAAAGATACCTCTACTGTGATCATGCTTTTATCAACTTGTTGAAGTTCTTCTGTATTTAACGTTTCATTGTGAATATGAAGATTTTATATGAAATACATTATGTCATATTTACTACCTTCTGAGGTCAAATAACAGTAAAGTGGAGATTAAAAAAACAAAGCTAATTTTTTAAAATTTACAGCTTGGTCAACCGTAAAATAAAACTGAAAGTCAAATATCTTTTAGTACAAAAGCACAAAAAAAGGAAAACCCAAACGTTCTTGAAGCCTATATAACCTTAAAGTGATCAAATTAAAGCTTATATTGAGAAGCAATTGATTCACATCGCATTAAAGCCATTTTTATAATATAAAAACAAGAGTGAAGGAAATGTATTGTTATGATGGAAACAGCTGTTTAATATTGTATTTGTTTTGGGGGGGTTTCAGTGATAGACCAATTTATTGTGAGCTTTCTCTTCAAAAGTCTGTTTTTGCGGGATCATCAAGTGTTTTAATACTATTTTTCTGTTTTCGTTTCATATTCTATTAAGTGGTTTGCAACGGTGTGTAGTACTGTGAAATTACAAACTCTATAACAAAAGCTACTGTGATTTTCTCTGGTTAATAAAATGTGCTTTTTCTCCTGTGTTGAAAATATACAGTGAAGCTGAATCTCATTGGGTCGTGTTCACACAATAAAGCTGTTTGAAACTCATTATTGGATTTGTCCAAATTATTTTGCCGACTAACAAAATAAGGACCACGGAGCTGGAAGTGAACAGATACTGGCCACTCAAATATGTGCAACTTTTTATCTCCATCGATGCAGGTCCTCAAATACGCAACTTTTTATCTCCATCGATGCAGGTATCTCAGCTCAGCTCAGCGAAGATGTTCCCAATAAATATGGCCAGTAAGAGTATATTCCAAACACAGATATTTCTAAGGCTTGATATTTCTAACATACATGTTAGAAATACCTATTTCATAAGAGGAGCTTAGTTTCAGTTCAGTAACGTGACAACTGCACTCAACAGTGACACCATTACCATTATACATTACAGTACACTTTCTACTGTTACTGGGCAACAACTGTAAAAATATAATAAATAAATAACTATTTTTTAAAAAATATATACATAAAATTTGACATGCATTCCAGACATTCAACTAGCAGGTTAGTATGTAAATGGTTTGGTTCTAAGGCTGGCTGTCAAAGAAGCATCCGCCAAAGGCTGTGTGAACAAAAGCACTCTCATGGTGCATTTGATGCTCACTGACATTACAAACCATGTTCATCTTAAACTGACTAGAGGTTTTTCAGATGCTCATGCGTGAAGAGAAAAGACACGGTCCAATGTCTGTCTGCCAGACAGGTTCATTCTTATGATTTTTCCAGCACCCATTAAATTGCACCTTAATGAGTTCAGTCAGGCTCTTTGTACAGGGTTGAGTCTATTATGTTCCTGTCCTGTCGAATTAAGGAAGGGCAGGTCTCAGAAAAATATGAAGGTGGTGGGGGAGGGTGGAAGACAAAGAAAAGTATGAAAAGATGAAAAAAAATACCAGCCTCGGCTTAAGTTACAAATGACAAACAAGAAAAAAGGGAGGAGTTTTCAATAGTTCTGAACCTTTAAACACAGGTGTCAACATTCCAGCCGTCCAGTCGGTTGACACACACACATATATACGCAAAGTGTTTCTTGTATAGAACATCTGCAGGGATTATTGACTAGTAATAAAGACCAAAAGATCGCTTTTAAAGCATCGTTGCTGACATACGACAGACCACACAACATTCGAGGAAGAAAATAAACAGCAGAGAGAATTACTGTACAAGTTCAGTTTCTCAAATCCAAAATTTATAGAAATTAGCCACGAGGTGGCAGCAGAGACCAAAAGACAGAGACCGTCACAACGTCTACGTAATCGTATCTTCAACAGGTTAAGGTGGACATAACGGTAATTCACACTAATGATAGTAAGAAATGTAAAGTTATGTGACAATGAAGGACATTATGATG